GCGGTCAGCCGGGGGGCTCCCCGCTGGCGGTTCTGTCCTTCCGTCCTCTTCCCACCACCCTGGAACGAACCCCCGGGAGAACGCGGTGCAGGCGTGGAAGTGTGTCCGAGGGATGTCTTCTGGGCACCTGCGAGGGAAGTCGCGGCCCTGGTCGGCCCCTCTCGGTTTCTCCGCTTCTCGCCCCATCGGATGCCTGAATCATGCCCTCATCCACTTTATTTGGCATCGCCGCGTTCTCGCCACTCGTGTGCAGGATGCCCTATCCAAGTTGCCTGGCACTCCGGCTGGCTTGGACTCGTCCTGACATAGAAAGGAAGGATTTAGGGGAGGTGGGAAATAATACTTGCAGAGCCTAGGCGCTTCCTTTTATACATAGGATTTCATGAAGTCATCACAATAACTCAGAAACGAATGTGGAAACCGAGGAGCGGGGAAGTTGAATTACGCTTTCAAGGTCACAGAATGGGAATGTGAATACAGGTCTCCCTGACTCCAGTGTCCACGGACCTTCCACTGTATTAATGAGTAGTATGCCCAAATGCGCATAAATATGCCCTGTTAGCTGTTACACATAGAATTAAGGAGTCGAGGTGGAATCTCACACAACAGCGACAACAACCTGTAAGCTTTCTGCCTATGGAATCATGTACTGTTTTAGTATGAAAGTAAGAGCATTCTTTGAATTATGTGGAAAAGAAAATATTTTCTTAGAAAGCATATGGCAGAAAATAGTATCTGGACAACACTGCATAGGAGAGCTAGGTCATAACAGAAGATGTTCAACACATTTTTGGCAGTGGTCTATGGTGAATTCTCAAGTGATGGAGAAATCAAATGGGAAAGTAAAAAGAAGTCTGGAAATCTTTTTCTGGTTTTAAACTTTAGGGAAACATTTACAGTAAGAAGAGTTACCTCGTTCATGGGATGTGTGACTGAACTGCATCCCACAATAGGGTAGCAAGTGAACCTGCATTCGTATGTTATTTGGTTCATTACAACTCTGTGATTTGGCATTGCAGGCGACACTCTCATATTGCAGACTCAGGGACTAAAATACAGAGAAGGCCAAGATCGCTGAGTAATTAGTGGCATCTGGACAAGCATTGACTCTTAGGTGTTACCTCACCCACTTGAAAATATGCGTGTTGTACTAACTTGTAGTTCTGTAGCGTGGGAAACTGAATTGATGTTTTTGTCCTGCCCTTTGGAGTTGACGATGATATTGACCTTCTGCAAAATACTGGCTGCTAGGTCTTCCTTTGTCCTTTGGTGGGTCATTTCATTTGCTTTCATTTATGATTTATGGGTTTTCTCTTAAGATACACAGCTCTTGTTGAGGTCTCAGGAGGCAGGTTGCTATAGTTCAAATGCTCATTATCTCTAAGTATCGGCACAGTATTTGATGGCAGGCAGGAACATAGTCATCTCAGTCCATCATTTCTCTAGTATTGAGCCATATGCATTAGCTCATTCTTTTGTAAGTTAATGGGAATATTGACAGACTAAAGCTCACTGCCTAAATAAGGGCATCAATTGGAGGCGCAAATTCATATTTGTTGCTCACAAAGACTGTAAGAGAAGTAGGGTCCTGTGAAGAGTCTTGAGTTTGAGTCCTAGGAGGCCTTTCCTTTCTTCTTTCTTTCTTTTATTTTCTTTCTTTCTTTCCTTCCTTCCGTTTTTTATGACTGTAGGCTATATCCTGAACCCTAGTGAGGCATCTTGCAATCCAGTGTGTTTAATCCCAAAGGGGACGGCAGAATTGGTATGAATGAATAAGCAAAAATTTAACACCATTGCTATTTTTTTTTTAAAAGGCAAGTGCATGTCCTAGTTGATGAATGGTCAGCAGTAACATTTTCAAAAGGGCAGCACTTTTTATATAGAGAACATCACTGAGAGTATGAATTTAATACTAACCTGGCTTTAGAACTGCTCTCTCTCTCTCTCTCTCTCTCTCTGTGTGTCTGTGTGTGTGTGTGTGTGTGTGTGTGTGTCCAGTACTTCTGTCTGCAGATCATCTAAATTCCTGACTTTAAGGATCTTAAAGTCTAGCTGGGGAGATGTTTACTTATGCATAAATAATTAAGAAAATAACTTCAAATTGACTTAATACCAGTAAAAGGTGGTGCAGACTTCAGAGAAAGGAGAAATAATAGAGGCTGGGGTGATCAGAGGATGAGGAAAGGCTTCACTGATGGAAGTGAATTAAATCAGTCCCTGGGAGATGGGAAGACTTTCCATAGGCAGAGAGAATGCCATACAGAGGTTCAGCTGAGAAGTGCTCATGTACTATTTGAATACACAGAGAAAGTTCATGAAGACTCTTGAATGTCAGTCGGTGACATCTGTTTCTGATCTAGTAATCACTTCTCTCCCTTGCGCTCTCTATATCCCTTCCCTTGAGTCCCCATCCAGAAAATGACTCAATGTCACCTCAACCCAGAACAAGTTTTCTGTGCAAGTAAAACTTTTTCTCTTCCCAAGAAGTTTGCCTTTTTAAAAGCTTCCCCCTCCCATGATAGAAATACGAACAATTTGGCAGCTATGAGAATATGAAAAGGAAAAAAATCTTCATAATCCTACCAACTAAAGATAACCACTAATAATCCTTTAATGTATTTCCACTCTTTTCCATGCATAGTTTTAATTATGTCATATATATTACTTTTAATATATATTTTACTTTAAATTTTCTAACATTCATTTTCATTTAATTACAATTGGGCTTAATACTAGGTTTAAAATGCTTAATACCAGGGCTATATAATTTTTCCTTTGGCAGATGTACTGTAATTTTCTAATCATTCCTCATTGTCATTATTGATGACATAATAAATAACCTTTGATGATAATAAGAAAATGACACTGTGATGAAAGTCTCTGTGCATAAGCTCTTTTCTGTATTTTGAAAATTAGTTCCTTAGCATATAGTCTCAGAAATAAAACTTCTAGGTTAAGAGGTATAAGTTCTTAGAGTTCGACTATTTTAAGCAAGTTTTGAAACTATTAGATTCCATATGGAATTCTGTTGGGAACATTTACATGTGGACTATAGAATATTTACATATTAATAATCTGTGACTCTGCAGATTACATTCTTTCAAGCAACCTAATGATTAGAAAGGCAGTCGGAGCTACTGAGGAGAGAAGATGGACAGTTAAAGTTGGAGAACAGGTTTGCTGAGAGTGGGCAAGAGTTTATAGTCAAGAACGAGTATATGTGATAGACTACTTTCTGGTCCTAGTTCATATCTGTGGACTTCCACTACGAATATCTGCCCGTCCCTACCCCCAACACATAACACACACCATGTCTATCTCCTTCAAATTCCGACTTCTTCTATCCTCCTGTATCAGATTCCCAGGTCTCTAGCTTCAGTATCCTGGTAACACAAGACTAGACACAAGCTCCTTTTGCACTCAAATTTGGAGAATTAACATAGGTGAGGGCAGGAATTTGAGCCGTCCAGCCAGTTCTCAGCAGAAGCCCTGGGTACAAGGTACAGAAGTGTAAGGAAAGCACACTTGATGGATATTAAAGACACCTGTCCCCTCCCCTGTGCACCCTTGCCAGAGATGACCTTGGGAACAGTGGACACTGGGATATGCATAAAGTTCCCAACATCTCCTAGCAGTCAATCTCTCCCCTCCCCTTGTTCCCTGTATCCCTCCATTAGAAGAAATTGCCCTCACGGAGGAGAGAGACTCAGCTTCCCTGACCCGTTGTCGCAATACACGATGTTACCTTTTTTGTTGAG